AATATAGTAACAAGATGAAGGTCTTTTAAATTTTGATATTTTCACATAGGTATTTTTGAATATTTGCTTAAGATGATTAAAAAAAGTTTTTCATTTTTTTTTAAGAAACTCGAACACAAATTGACGAAAGTGCGAAACGCCGTATAACATCCCTTTAAATGAGTAGTACTGGAAAACGCAGCGTGGGATGTCCACCCACGAGGTGGACCGACGACATCATAAAGGAAGCAGGAAAGTGCTGGACGCAAGCCGCTACCAACCGGGTAACATGGAAAGCATTGGGGGAGGCCTATGTTCAGCAGTGGACGTCCTATGGCTGAGATGATGAAATGAGTATAGGTTTCAGGGAAATCCAACTGACTAATAACGCCAAATTATTATATCACAGTCATAATATCAATTCAGAAACCTATGACCCGTAATGACCGTGCGTCACATTTCGAGAGTCCTTCCATTCGGAAAATACTGCTATCCATCCAAGCTAAATGCAGCTGTTAATTATACTGCCGCACAATTTATAAACGCAGTAAGTACCACTTACTGCATTTATGATTGTTTTGAATATTCTGAATCCTGACATCGCGATCTATAAGAATCAAAGACCCGTTTTTTTCTATCTATCTTAGAACGGAAGATACATATTATCATAAACGCAGTAAAGAGCAGATTGTAGGTTTCTTCACATACTATGTTAGCAGTAAGAGCACATAATAACTTAATATTACGTGAATACTCGCGCTTATTTAATTTGCTANTTAATTTTTGATTGAATAACAAGCGATCTCAGCAATTATATTGTAATACTTGTTTCATTTACCCCTTGGTCATTTGGGAAAGTTCAACATGAAAGCGTTATTGGCTTATGATAAGCGCAGTATAATTGTATTATTACTGCGCATTTAAAGTTTTGATAAATTATTTTGATTCACACTCCCACTCATAAATGCAGTAAGTTGTAAAGATACGGCGCATATATTACGTTGTAAGAACTAAAATTTAAATCAATCATTTAACACATGTACCGTAAGTAACGAAAACTACTGATAAACGCAGTAAGGAACAATCATACTGCATTCATGGGTAGTAGTAAGTATCGAACGAAAACTTAGTTAATCCATAACACAAACAGTTTTTTAATAATTTTAAATACAAAATATTAATTAAAATACAAAAACCTCATATCAAAATAAACTTTGAGTTTAGCTCTATAAGCCCATATATTTTTTTTTACAAATATTTGCGTAACTAATTGTAGACACCCCAAAATAAAATTTCAACTTTGATCGCGTTTTTCTCGAAACTGTTCACGTGTTACTTACTGCGTTTATAAATTGTGCGGCAGTATATTAAATTATAGTGCAGCACTAGCTAATACTAATCACAACAAACGAATGATCGTCACAATCGAATACCCTTTCCATTCGCCGAATTCCGCTACCTCAATCAAGTGCGCCGCTAAGAATCGATTAAGCTCATGCTCTCATCTTAACTGGTTCTAGGAAGATGCACTATCCAGCCCATCTGTCTGGAGACAGATTAACTTCATCTAGAGTCAGCTCTTTAATGACATGCCTGTGCTTTCGCAAGTTCAATCCAAAGGTGAGATAAATAAAGTTGGAATTAGTGCACCCGTGATTACAACATCGGCTGAAAGAAGAATCGTAAAGCGAAGGCAATTTGCACCGAGCTTCGGCAGCGTTTGTGGACTAAAGGCGTGAAATCGCGTACCGGCGGGTGCGGCACTAAAGAATACGTCATAAACGCAAATTGCTACGAACAAATTAGAACGCTAATTTTATTGCATTAAGGCAATAAATCGCACGGCGTTTGCCGATTGTTTTATGGGCCCGTAATGGACGGTAACGGTAGCCATGGGTTACAGACGGATTAATGGAAATTGATTTTGCTATCTAGAACGACAGTTTATGTGGGGAAATTAACGGAATTACTAAAACACTACATTTAATTGTAGACTTCATAGAATATTATGCTATTTGCCGTTTTATTTGTTTTCAAAGTACTTTGACCACTCTCGAGTTTTATTCAACAACAGCATAGTAAACATGTAGGGTAAACCGTATAGCTATTGCCCACTTAAGATTGCAAACACATTGAGATGAAAAATTAAAGAAAGTATTTTAATTTATCGACCATTTATGACTTTTTTCTTATACCTCAATAAACTGTTAAACAGAATATGAACAATTTTTAGTTAAAACTTACGTAACTTAGAAAATATTGAAATAAATTTAAAATCCTCCAAAAAGTACAGTCATTGCCCATTACTTACACTAATTGCCCACATCAAAGCACAGTAATTGCCCAGTATCTTAAAACAAAATAATCAATTTTAAAATGACAAAATAGGCTTTAAATAAACAAAACAAAACAAAACAAAACATTAAACTTAAATACAGTCTTCAAAAGAAGAACGGTCATCTGTGACCCAGGCCCGACAGAAACGAGACATACCTCAGTTTTTTTGTCATGTCTTAATTAGTTAAATTATATAATTTTTATATTCGAAATCTATGTATAACACCAAATTATTACCCTTTGTTTTTGTTCAGGCGTCATACAAAAACTAATTCAAAATGCCTATTTATCACCAAAATTGGTAAATGTATGTACCTAAATAGCTGCTATGGAATGTATCTAGGTGACCTGGAGATGCAGCCGGATTATACAAGGTGGAAACGAGAAGTTACAAAATCCAANTCATTGATAATGGAGAAAACACTTATAATTTCATCATGACTATACACCATCAGTTGAATATTAAATAACTTGCAAAAAAAAATTTACCTCTAAGAAAGTAATTCCTTAGTAAAATTGTTAAAGTCTTTACCTGTTTGAGTAACATTTTCACCCGTCTTGACAAAATCCGCCATAACTGTATTTTTTTAGTGTTTCCTATTGTAAATTTTAAATCTATTTGTACATTGATCTCGGAGCCCTCTACTCAGTAAATTCAAATCTAACTAGAGTGATTCAAAGTCAGCACCTGACAATATTATTCTTAAAGCGGGCAATCACTACCAGTGGGCAATCACTCTCTGGTTTACCCTATGTAGTATAAAATTCGTTGGATTAGAAAGCTTTTGAAGTAAAATATAAGACATAGCAATTATTTACTTTTAGCCTAAATTAGAACTAAATTAATAGTAATTTTCACATAAGTTTCGATAACATTTTGATTAAACTTGTAATTCTACAAAAATAACAGGACTAAACAATAACTTAAATCAATTTAACGAGGTTTCTAACATATCTTCGCCTCGTTGGACTCGTGTTTTTTCTATTACACGACCTTTCATTAAGGGAGAGACAATAAATTGTTGTGCAGACCTCGCACAACTAAAGAAATTATATTTAGGGGTCCGCTAATAAAAGTGACAAACCTTACTAACTTTCTAACCTTCTTATTACATATTTTTATTAAAATTAATACAATTTTCAATCAAAAGAAAAATATTTGAAGGTAAGGTTGAATTCAATAGACAATTTATTAAAAAGGGGCACATTATATTTTAATTTTAGAAGAGCTTAGTTGCTCCACGAATTTCGTAGACTATGCTACATAAAATGCTACGAATGTAGCTAAAGTGGACTACGAAGTTGAAGAGTCAGATGTCCGCAAACTAAATCAATTTAGAATGATTAATATAGTATTTACAGTCAATTATACTCCTATAACATTTATATCACATCTGTTAAAAATAAATTGAAACATCATAATGTTTTAATTTATTTTTAACAGATGTGTTTTAAAATAATTTAAAAAAATAGAATTGCCTAATTTAGGAATCGATTCACGAATTTTCTTTATTTGAGATGCGACTTTTAATGCTAGAAAATTTTAATAGCTACGAGATCTTTAATACTTTTTTCTTTCAATACGGAACCAAAACTTACGTTAACTTTTTTATTCAACACTGCCAGGTAGGGTACGTGAATTTGGCAATCAAATAAATATTAGCCTAAATGGGGCAGGTGGGACCGCGGTCCGTTGCAAATAACCAAATAACTCATTTGTAACCCAATGTGAGGTTCCGATTGAGACATAAGACAGGGGTGGTTATCTTGCATCTTGGATTGGATTATAATTGTGTGCATAATGTATTTGTTTGTTTGATATAATCGCAATAATAAGGTTTCTTAATACATCTTTTTATATTTATTTCTTCATATTGCTACATAGTTCAAATAATAAAGTAATGTAAGCCTTTTTTTTGCCTGAGATACAGGAATTATAATTCTTAGTTCAGGCACGTATGTACTTTTACCTATTATAGTATAAATTAGCCTATTGTTAAAAACTGTCAATAAGTTATTCAATAAAGAATTTATTTATTATTTTATTATTATTTATAGCAGTACCTACTTTCACTTATTCCTATCAAAAATGTTTATTACTTTTATAATTATGTTTTTATTGACCTCTTATATCACTTAGCTCGGCCGCAGGGCTCAGAAAATCCTGTGGTCATTTAATTTCTACTGTAGGTTTTATCTTTTTAGTTTTCCACTGTAGGAGCACGACTCTATCTAATTTACCAGAGGCAAATCGAGGATTTGGCCCACACTCCCCACTCTGCCTACCAACTCTTAAGTTGGGGAGGCCTGAAATTCGCATATTTGACCCTTAGTTGCCTTTTATCCACGGGAAAAGTGGGAGTGGTCCCATTCTACTCTGCTTGAACGATACGATAAATAAAAGCTTTGTCCTCAGAGCGCAACTGGAACCAAATTCGCGGGATTTTTTCTCAATAGGTACAGTAGAGGCGCGTGTGCACGGGCGACTTTTTTGTCGCTGTTGCAGTATTATCCGTGATAGTATAAGTATAAATCTGTTTCTTTTACATCTTTATAAAGATAAAATGAGAGACATACTGTCATGGTGATAAAAGTCACCTGTAGGTACGCGCGCCGTTATAGAACAGGCTTAAAAGGAACCTTTGCTAAATAAGTGATGCCTAAAGTCAATTCATTGTCCACAGGGCAAGCCGGCGTGAACCAACTAGGGGGCGTCTTCGTGAACGGGCGCCCCCTGCCCGACGTGGTCCGTAAAAGGATAGTAGAACTGGCCATCATGGGGGTGCGGCCGTGTGACATCAGCAGACAACTGCTCGTCTCCCATGGATGCGTCTCCAAGATCCTGACGAGGTTCTACGAGACTGGGTCGATTAGACCTGGGTCCATTGGCGGGAGCAAGACTAAGGTAAGAGCGTAAAAAATAATAAAAACTACTTATCTTAATTTCGCCTTGCTGGCCATCATGGGGGTGCGGCCGTGTGACATCAGCAGACAACTGCTGGTCTCCCATGGATGCGTCTTCAAGATCCTGACGAGGTTCTACGAGACTGGGTCGATTAGACCAGGGTCTATTAGCGGGAGTAAGACTAAGGTAAGAGCGTAAAAAATAATATAAACTACTTATCTTAATTTCGCCTTGCTGGCCATCATGGGAATGCGGCCGTGTGACATCAGCAGACAACTGCTGGTCTCCCATGGATGCGTCTTCAAGATCCTGACGAGGTTCTACGAGACTGGGTCGATTAGACCTGGGTCCATTGGCGGGAGCAAGACTAAGGTAAGAGCGTAAAAAATAATAAAAACTACTTATCTTAATTTCGCCTTGCTGGCCATCATGGGGGTGCGGCCGTGTGACATCAGCAGACAACTGCTGGTCTCCCATGGATGCGTCTTCAAGATCCTGACGAGGTTCTACGAGACCGGGTCGATTAGACCAGGGTCTATTGGAGGGAATAAGACTAAGGTAAGAGCGTGACAAAATAATAAAAACTTAAGTTACCTTTATTTCGCCTTGCTGGCCATCATGGGGGTGCGGCTATGCGACATCAGCAGACAGCTGCTTGTCTCCCATGGATGTGTCTCCAAGATCCTGACAAGGTTCTACGAGACCGAGTCGATTAGACCAGGGTCCATTGGCGGGAGCAAGACTAAGGTAAGAGCGTAAAAAATAATAAAATATCTTAATTTCGCCTTGCTGGCCATCATGGGGGTGCGGCCGTGCGACATCAGCAGACAACTGCTCGTCTCCCATGGATGCGTCTCCAAGATCCTGACAAGATTCTACGAGACCGGGTCGATTAGACCTGGTTCTATTGGAGGGAGTAAGACTAAGGTAAGAGCGTAACAAATAATAAAAACTACTTATCTTAATTTCGCCTTGCTGGCCATCATGGGGGTGCGGCCGTGCGACATCAGCAGACAACTGCTCGTCTCCCATGGATGCGTCTTCAAGATCCTGACGAGGTTCTACGAGACTGGGTCGATTAGACCTGGGTCCATTGGCGGGAGCAAGACTAAGGTAAGAGCGTAAAAAATAATAAAAACTACTTATCTTAATTTCGCCTTGCTGGCCATCATGGGGGTGCGGCCGTGTGACATCAGCAGACAACTGCTGGTCTCCCATGGATGCGTCTTCAAGATCCTGACGAGGTTCTACGAGACTGGGTCGATTAGACCTGAGTCTATTGGCGGGAGCAAGACTAAGGTGAGTGAAAATAAAACGGCAGTTCCCTCATAAAACCCCTTTCTCAATTTTATTTTTGAGCAATGTTTTTCACACCTTGCTTAAAAATAAATTCACTGGCCACATACTTACAAGGAGCTAAACCACAACCAGTTTCAAAATATAAGAAAAAAACCCAAAACAAAACAGAATCAACAGAGCGGTCACCTCACTTTTCGCGGGCTTTTTAATTGACAACTTTTTAATGTTGATGCTGGCTATAGAAGCGCATTGTCTTAGATTCACACTGGCCAGATACAAAGTGATAAAACGCTACCATTATCAAAAATTAAGAAAAAACCTAAAACAAAACAGAATCAACAGAGCGGCTTTAACATTCGCGGGCTTTTTAATTGACAACTTTTTATTGTTAACGCTAGCCACAGAAGGACATTTTCTTTAAATTTACTCTGACTACAAGTAAACAGACCACAAACCTAGTGTCTATTGACAAACGCTACCATTTTCAAAAAATTAAGAAAAAACCCAAAACAAAACAGAATCAACAGTGCGGTCGTCGGTTCACACACGAGCGAATCGGGCGGGTCACGCCGCCAATCAGCCGTAATTATAAACTATAAAGATTTAACCGGCACCGAGGCTTTCGGCTTCTTGGGTTGGCCTTTCGACACGCCTGGGGGGAGCGCCATGCTTGTATTTTTGACGGGTTCCGCATAGATAAGAATACATACATTCACTTCTTTACATTTTTGTAACACGTTCGTATTGTGCCGATTTTTTTCATATTTAGAAAAAAAGTTAACAAAACAATATGATAACATAGGATTTGCACACAGGACATCATAGGATTGCAAAACTGCACTCTGTTAATACTTAATGCAGCCTGAAAAAAAAAACGGTAAAACTATGATTACATTTCCTTTTACAAATAAATCTTAACTTTTTTATAAAGATCTTACACTATTGTCAGTATTTCAGACAGAGGATCTTAGGAATTATCAATTTGTCGATCGAGTAATTTTTGGACTATGTAGGTAGTAAATGTACATTCTGAATGCGCTTGCAGGTGCAAATTCAATTTTAATGGACGTTTATACGTGTTATTAAATAGTTTTCCCATTCGCCTGCGGACCCCCAGCGCCACCATCCAGTAAGCATCGACCTCACTAAATTCGGTACGCCAATAAAACCTCCATTTGTCGAACTCAAACGGATGCCGACGTCAAAAATTGATTACAACAAAATACAACGAAATCACCGAATACTTTTATTGGTGCTGTTATGGGAATGCCTAATTGACTACTAATCAACGGCCATCGATATCGATTGTCGAATCGAGTATCGATAAAACATTCGATTTGACAGTGACCTCATCCTTTTCACGGAACTAACTTATGTAAAGCAAGAGTTTTGCAACGATTTTTTATTAACGATTAATTGGTATTTCTTTCTCACGGTACATGGATTTGGTTTTGGAAAATTGTGAGAACGAAAGCGCGTGTTTTAGTGATATCAAAACCAATTTTAACTACCGAAGCTTGTACACCAATTTCAATTTGGGAAATGATGATGATGATGATGAATTATAACTTCAACTCTGCCGTGTGCTTCCAGCAGAGTGGAATAGGACCACTCCCACTCTGCGAACATCAGGTTTTCCCAACTCGTCTGGCCAGATGCTAAATGAAAATGCAGGCTAAATCCTCAATTTGCCTCTGGTAAATTATATATAATTTACCAGAGTGCACCAATAAAATGCAGGCTAAATCCTCAATTTGCCTCTGGTAAATTATATATAATTTACCAGAGGCAAATTGAGGATTTAGCCTGCATTTTCATTTAGCATCTGGCCAGACGAGTTGGGAAAACCTGATGTTCGCAGAGTGGGAGTGGTCCTATTCCACTCTGCTGGAAGCACACGGCAGAGTTGAAGTTATAATTCATCATCATCATCATCATTTCAGCCATAGGATGTCCACTGCTAAACATAGGCCTCCCCCAATGATTTCCACAAATGCCGGTTGGTAGCGGCCTGCATCCAGCGCCTTCCTGTTACCTATTAAATAAAAGTCGTCGGTCCACCTAGTGGGACGTCCTACGCTACGCTTTCCGTATGTGGACTCCACTCCAAAACCTTGCTAATTAGTAAGTTCTAATTAGAAGGAAAGAAAAATTAAGAAGTAAATAAACTGTGACAAACAAATCTGATTTCAATGCCAGAAAATGCAAATGAAGAACATAATAATATCTACATGTACAAACGCCCTTCGCAGTGCACTATTGCCCATCATATTTATTTAAATGACTCCCATAATTACCAGGCTATTACACTGTTAATAAACACTGAATAATAAATAGTTTTTTATGTCAGTTTATTGTGGCGAACTCCAAATTGCTATCTTTATTATGATTTCCAAATAATCAAAGGTAAGTAAGTCGTGGGCATAAACAGAAATGATCCAGTCGTGGAAAATCGCTTGATTGGGTAATTGGAACCTTCGATTTGGAAAGGTTAAAGTACGTACGAAAGGCACCTTGAATCATCACGCGATTTTTGGTCGCAAACGATTTGGTTTGTGTTTTAATTGTGTTTATTAAGCGTTTTCCTTGTGTAGATGATTTGTGAGATACCCGTGATCATCGATAAAGGTTTATAGCATTACTAGCTTTCCGCCCGCGGCTTCGCCCGCGTGGAATTTTGTCTGTCACAGAAAAACTTTATCGCGCGCGTCCCTGTTTCGAAAACCGGGATAAAAACTATCCTATGTTCTTTCCCGGGACTCAAACTATCTCTATGCCAAATTTCATCAAAATTGGTTGCGAGGTTTAAGCGGGAAAGCGTAACAGACAGACAGACAGACAGACAGACAGACAGACAGACAGACAGACAGAGTTACTTTCGCATTTATAATATTAGTTGGGATTGACTGTAACATCCATATGAGAAACAGTATTCTGCACATTAGAGGTTAAACTTCCAGAATTTCAAAAACTTTTTACCAAAACCTCGTTTAAGCAAAACTTTATAATATTATGATTTTTGAAATTATCACATTTAATTAAAAAATTATACATGACTGTGTAAGGTGGCATGTAAGTTAATATACAGGGTGACAGGGATACTCGACCTATTCCTTGAAAGGGGTTATACTAAAGATCCTTAACAACAAATGAGTCCGAATATCCCTGTCACCCTGTATATGAGAGTGCGGGGGGCGCCCGCCGCGGCCAGTCGCAAGAATACTGTCTCCGCGTAATTTTCAAGTTTGGTGGCACTTTATACCGCGTTTCGCGCCGCTAGTATACACTAATACTTAGAACTTTTTATGGGAAATGTCACTGTGAAAGTGTTATTTCGATCGAGCAATCGGTTCCCGAGTTATCTTAGTGCAAAGATTTGGTGTCGTTATATTTTGAACGAGATCGCCAGCGGTCATCGGTTTGCTACGCGGACTCGTCATTGACCGGCGCCTCAAATCGGAGCACATCGGACCACGCAGAGACGATCGGTGGCGTTCGGCAGTCTGCGGTGTCGTCATCAGCAGCGGCGAGTTGCGAGTGACTACGGCGTGCTACGAAGCGCTACGACGCTGCCTCTCGCGCCCCTCCCGCTGCATACTGGCCCGCCCACTGTTACACCGTAGCACTCAGCTCGTAGCAGAGATACTGGTTTGTTAGATAAATTATTTCTTCAAATATTACAATGAAGTGCGTTGCGTGCAACAACAACATTGGCGCCGAGGGATCGTTGAAGTGCGCGGCTTGCGCCAAACATTTTCACTACCAGTGTCTGGGCATGACCAGAGCGCAGTTTTTAGGCAACCAGCATGTCAGGCGTACCTGGTGTTGCCCCACTTGCTCCAATGTCACACGCCGGAGAGACGACGACACACCGGTCCGGAGATCCCCCGCGGTTTCGGCTCATCTGGATGAGACAACGATGTCTTGCGATGAGTCCCTTCAGGATGTCTCATGCACTATAGAGCAAGCAGTCAGCGTTAACGCATCCTCGTCCACCGCGCCGCACCATGCATCGGTCGTAGCGCCTAATCAGGCTACCATCACTTATGCTCAGTTTGGGGATCTTTTGGATCTTAAACTCGAGCAAATTAGGGTCAGCCTGGCCTGCGAGTTGAAAGCAACCATTCGCTCGGAAATAAACGGCGCAATGGAAAGATATAAAGCAGAAATAAATCAGACCATCGAATTTCTCTCAGACAACCAGAAGGACTTTAAAAGAGAGATCGACGCTACTCAGACGCAGATTAAAAGCATCGAAGTCGAGAAGGCCAATCTTCAATCAGGCCTACTATCCCTGGAACGGCGACTTGCGAACCTTGAGAGATCCTCTAGAAGCTGTAACCTTGAACTTCACTCACTTCCGGAGAAGAAAAGCGAAAACCTCATGGCGATACTTAAAAATCTGAAGGAATGCCTCGGGGTGGCCATCCCAGAGGCTTGTGCTGCCCGCAGAATTTCAAAATTCAATAAAGCGTCTGATCGGCCCAGGAATATCTTGGTGACTCTTCCGTCAGAACGTCACCGTGATGACATTATAGCTGCCTTCAGGAAGTATAACAAAATGAATGCTGGTAGTCCCCTGAACTCGGCCAATCTGGGGGTTCCCGGTGAACCCAACAGGGTATACATCGTGGAGCACCTGTCTCCTGAGAGCAAGGAACTGTATTCTGAAGCCAGGAAATTTGCCAAAGAGCACAAGTACAAGTTCGTATGGGTGAAATTTGGTAGGATTTACATGCGGAAAGATGAGTCAGCTGCGCCTATACATATTAAAGACAGTAAGGTGTTATCAAGTTTAAAATAATTTTTTTTTTTCTCTTACCTCTGTAACATTGTAAAATCTTTTTTCGCACGTATTTCGTTAAGTTCTGTATCTTATGGATAACAATCGTACTTACTTTGAGAGTTTTAACTTCTTTTTAAATTTTATTGGATGGTTATTTTTTTATTGTAATTATAGACACACCATATCATTTGTAATTTATTGTATCTTTATCTGCACGAGTAGTGTTGCGGCAGCTGATGTTCCTAACGGTCACAGACTTGAATTTCATTCCTTTTGTTTTTTATTCGACCGCACTTACTTTAATCATTTGCATGTACAAAATTATTTAATTTTACTTTATACACACTTCTTCAGACATGATTTTATTAATGCACTATACACTCGTTATTTATTTGTCCTCAGACGTAGACTTATTTACTCGCAGGTACATTTTAGTTCATTGTTTTTAAGCAATTTTGGACATGTAAGTAATGTATTATTATTTTGTAATTTATTTTATTCCAACTCTAATTTAATTTATTTGCATGGACATTTTAATTTATTTTTTATACAATTTTTAGACATGAATTTAATTATGTATTCTACTTTAATCCAATTAATCTCTATCACAAATATATTTTTGGGAATTTTAAACTATTTTTTACATATTACCAATTTTACACTTATTTATTTATTTGAATTATTTTGTGCTGATATTTATCAGTATGGATGCCATGGTCTACATTACACTCGCAATGGATATACATTTCCTATTATTTTTTCAAGATTTGATTTATCCCGGAGCAAAACAGTCTTTAGGCGACCGCGTGTCTGTTGTGCTCCTATGTCCTNTGTCTGTAGGTACACCTTTCCTGAAATTATTAAACCTTCCTTCTTCCGTTGGGAGATAATGAGTATTGCATACCTACACTATGACCACGATTGGACGCCATGACCACAGCTGAATGCCATGACCCCAGCTGAACGCCATGACCACAGCAGATCCGCTGTGGTCGTATTATTAACCGTTGCATTATTAACTTAATTATTATAATCTGCGATGGAGTTGTTAATCTGTGGTTGTTTTTGTTCATTTTTTTTTCTATGGTTTTTGTTTGACAGTTCATAATTGAAAATGGCAGACACTGCTGTTGAAACTGCTCCAGGCGATGAAAACGATGATAGTTGGTTGTACGGAGACTCAAATGCAGAGCAAGCTGCAAACAACGATGCAGAAAATAGTGAGAAAACCCAGGTTCAATCGAATGCTGTAAGTTATTACTTATAGATACTTTACATAACCTAAAAGTTTTGGCTTGTTGTTACTGTGAAGAATAGTAAATAGGCATATCAAATGCGTTTTTGTGCTATTGCAGGACGTTGGAGAAGACAAAGAACAGGAGGAGAACGATGCCAACAACGATGATTCGCATTTCAACGATGAGCATTTTGCTGACGTTGGTCTGACGGGGGATCAGGAGCAAGCCAACGGGGATGCCGACAGCCAGGACAACGGAGACTCGGATTCGGACGACAGTGACGATGTCAAAGTCACTATCGGAGAAATCAAGTCGGGGCCGCAAGCGTATGCCAGTTTGAACATCAAAGTGAGTTTGTTATGATGCTACTTACATCTAAACATTCTAAGCCCATATTATGTAAAAAATATGACCACCCAAAAATACTACACTACCTAATAGATGCAGAACTTGGACATGAAAGAGTGGAAATCACAATACCTATGTAGAACTAGAACAACTGCTCAACAAAAAATAATATAAACAATTTTAAATTGTCAAGATTCTTCATAGAGAAATATTTTAAATTTAATAAGTTATAGTTATACTGATAGGTTGTTAAAATATAAAGAGGTCACATAAAAGCAAAAGTAGAAAAACAGTGCTCTAAAAGCCTATTCCACTTGATTTGATTGGTGATGATGATTGCAGTATTTAATTCAATATTATTTGTGTATTCATTATACTAAATTCAGTATAATTAGATTTCTGTATGTTTTTACCATTTTCATTCTTATGTACAGATTGTATTATTTGAATGGTAAGTTTATTTATTTAGAACTACCATCAAGACACAAGCAAAGCAAAAGGGTTGGAACATATTATATTTGTCTTACTTAAGGCTAGCCTACATTATTAATTGAATCTTTTATCAATAGATTGCTTTGTAATATTTTCACATAAAGTTATGTAAATAAATAAAAATCTTTATCGGTTTTCATTTGTAGAGAGGAGTAGGCCTGGTAGCAGCAGGCGCAGAGAAGCCGCGCCAAGGTACTGCCACCGGCAGCAAGGTGACACTGGAGGACCTCGATGGGCCCGGCAGTATCAATGGAGTGCCCGCACTTGAATTCAACATTGACACCATTGAAGATAAACCATGGAATAAGCCTGGTGCTGACATATCTGGTAAGTGCATACTCTTGTGTTTATGTATAAATGGTGGTTTAAATATTGTTTATTGATTGTTTATTAAGTAATGGATATCTATTAAGATTTTTGAAAGAATTATTATTATTATTCCATGTCCATCCAAGAGATATTTGTTTATCAAAACGAACTTTCATTCTTCTAGAAGTAAAACAGTTATTCTTGTGTGTTAGACCATGGTCTCCTATAAAAGCCGTCGCGTGCTGCGTCATGCCGTAGTCATCACAGTGCTTGCTATAGAAATCTATTGTTTTGGTCTCCTTCCGACATTGACGTCAACATACGAACGTTTGACGCTTACGTCGTACGCCGCGTATAGCGTTTAATAAGAGACTATAGCCTTAAGACGGTAGTATTGTACATTAAACATGGAAGTCCTGACAATGTACCATCTATGTACACTTATGAAGCAATAAATTATTATTATTTGTAACTCTCCTGTGGCGGTGTGGAGGCCGGTCCTTTTGGAAGGCCTTCATGGGGATAGAGATCCAACACGAAGAGGCCCATCTCGAAGATACGATAATGTGTTGGGATGTCTATAGTCTGGTCCGGGAGCACGTAGAATTTTGTCCAATGACCCCAAGCTACCCATCCTTATCGCTCGCGCGTAATTATATTGCTGTCGCGACTGTGGGACGGGCGCCCGCAGTGAGTGTGCGAGCGCGACAGCAACATAATTACGCGCGAGCGATAAGGAGGGTAGCTTGGGGTCATTGGACAAAATTCTACGTGTTCCCGGACCAGACTATAAAAGATACTATCTCTCTCTGCCTGCACTATTGAGGAGATACAGCCAAAGACAGCACCCGCTAAGTGCAAGGATTATTATTATTATTATAAGCGTCCCCCCACAGACTACTTCAACTACGGATTCAACGAGGTGACGTGGAGCGCGTACTGCGAGCGGCAGCGCCGCATGCGCGTGGGCGAGGCCGGCGTGGGCTTACACGTCGTGCCGCCGCGCGCGCCGCCGCCGGACATGCGGCGACCGCCTGGTATACTTTTTATATTTTTTTTATTTATTTACTGTCGGCCGTTTGGTGTAGTGGTTCGAAACGGACTACTATTCCGGAGGTTGCGGATTCGATTCCCGCACAGTACACAAACATTTGTGTGCATGAACATATTTGTTTGTATTGGACTGGGTGTTTTGTATGTATAATATGTATGTATTTACAAAAAAAATGTATTTAAGTATGTTTATTTATATCCGTTGTCTAGTACCCATAGTACAAGCTTTGCTTAGTTTGGGACTAGAAGCGCAGTGTAAAATGTCCAAGGATATTTATTTATTTATTATTTACTAACTTTTCTACCCGAAACTGCTACAATGACAACTTCAATCTATTGAAGCTGCTGGTTAATTGCAGATAGAAAAAAAAACGAATTTACTGCTCACTTGACATGAAACTTCATTAAATCTGTTCTATAATTGTTGTATGAAAGAGTAACAAACACTCATCAATCCATTCTCACTAATTTACAGAAGGCAATAATACCAAGCAGCAAGATTTCCATATGTCTATTTTAGTTAGTTTGTGCTTTGTCAATAAACTATACCAAAAGTTTATATTGTTTTCCAGTCGGATGCATTGTTAGTTAACCATTTGCCTATCCCAGGTGTTGAATTTGATTCACATCTATTTTCTTTACTTTAATTAAAGTTAATATTTTTTTCTGTTTTTAGGTCCCATTAGATCCGACGACGGTCCGCCAGTGATGCCAAATAACTACCAAGTTCGGGAAAATACTATACAGGTAAGAGTATTACTGGTAAAGGGTGTCCCAAAATTAACGCAAGATTTAAATTTGCCACCATTCATACTCATAGTGTTGAAAAACCTAAAAATAAAACAAATCGACAGCTGACAGTCTAGGATTACTATACATACTACCGACCCATCAATCGGGTTTCAGTAGGGGGTGAGGTACAGCAACGGCGCTCCTGGACGTTGTAGACAACATACTGGCTGCACAGGATCAGGGTAGGGCTACAATACTTGTTTTGTTGGATTTTACACGCGCATTCGACTCAATCAATGTACCCTTACTCCTGTCTAAGCTTTCCTACTATGGATTTGACAGGGACACTGTTTCTTGGTTCGCGAGTTACTTGCGTGATCGGTCACAGTTCGTGGAGGTGTGTTCCGGTGATTCTTACCAGCAGACCGCAAAGCGGGCAATACATAGGGGAGTCCCGCAGGGCTCTATCCTGGGGCCGCTGCTCTTTATTTTATATAGCGCAGACGTGCCACAAGTATTGAAGACATGTCGTTACCACATGTATGCTGACGACCTCCAGATTTACATGTCATTTGACCCAAGTGATACTTGCAAGGCCGTCGGTGAGCTTAACTCCGAGTTGGACAGGATTAACTCGTGGGCCGAGAGTCACACACTCACACTCAATCCTACTAAATCCAAATTTATAATATTTGGTACAAGTGGGCAAATTAAAACTGTGGAAGGCCTTAACCCCCTTTTAAAAATCAACGCGCAGCCGATTGAGAGGGTCTGGAGTCTGGACAGCAAGAAACCTGGGTGTTACTTTTGACGCTGGTCTTCGCTTTGAGGATCATGTCAATGCATTGGCTAGGAATTGCTTATACAGTGTGTCCGGGCATGTAGTGATCAAACTTTAAAGGCGTAATCTATGGACAATTTTATCGATGAAAATACTTCAAATTTGGGGCCTGACCCATTTCTCGAAAAATTACATCAATTTAAGTTTTTAATTTTTAGTTTGCACCTCTTCTTTAAAAAATAAGAGAAAGAGTGGGTAGGTTAACATTAATAGGCAAATATTTTATATCATGCGATAGCCAATAAAATTATCTATTAGTAGAAGAAGAAAACAGACACAAGTTTCATACATTTTATGGGAGTAAAAATGGATTTAATTAGAAAAATACATTACTTTTTACACTTCTTTTTCAGTTATTTTCCAACACAAGAAAAACCAGGTCGTTAAGGTGTATTTTATTTGCATTGTATTATTAGTATTTGAGCTATTCTACAAAACGAATGTACATTTATTAGTCTACGNCTTTACGAGATCGTCGGTCCACCTAGTAGGAGGCCTGCCCACGCTACGTCTTCCAGCCCGTGGTCGCCACTCGAGAACTTTTCTGCCCCAACGGCCATCGTCTCTACGAGCTATGTGCCCCGCCCACTGCCACTTGGTTTTAGCAATTCTGCGAGCTATGTCGGTCACTTTGGTTCTCCTGCGGATCTCCTCATTTCTGATTCGATCACGCAGGGAAACTCCAAGCATGGCCCGCTCCATCGCCCTTTGGGTGACCTTGAGCCTTCTTATGAGGCCCATAGTAAGCGTCCACGTTTCGGATCCATAAATCAACACTGGCAGCACACACTGCTCGAAGACTTTTGTCTTGAGACACTGCGGTATTTCGGACGTGAGTATATTGCGTAGCTTCCCGAACGCTGCCCAGCCGAGTTGGATTCGACGATTGACCTCTTTCTCGAAGTTGGCCCTACCTAACTGGACTGTTTGTCCCAGGTATACATAATTGTCAACAGCTTCGAGTGTAGAGTCTCCAACCTTCAAAGGAGTGGGTGCGACACGGTTATTAGACATGATTTTTGTCTTGTCCATGTTCATTTTGAGACCCACTTGTTGAGAGGCTCTACTGAGGCCATCGAGCATTGTGCCTAGATCTTCCAAGGTTTCAGCCATGACTACGATATCGTCCGCGAATCGAAGGTGGGTGATGTACTCACCGTTAATATTTATGCCAAATCTTTTTGGGAAGCTTAATTGGAAACACTCGGACTCAGTTTATAACACTCGTGGTAGATCTTGGAGGCTCTCCATACCACAGCACAAAACTGCTGCTTTTAGAGGAAGTTTTAGGTACCTGGCTACGAAGTGCTGGAATAACCTTCCACCACCCATTAGGCAAGCTATAACCAAGTTTACTTTTAAAAGTAAACTTAAAAAGCACATACTGGCATTCCAAAAAATCTCTAATGGCCAGGTGTAGTCGACCCCTCTATTTTGACATTATTTATAATACTGACTTGCTATTCCTATTCCTGACATCTAATTTACATAATTTAATATATTATTATGACATTAAACTAATTTTCACTTTTTATTTATTTAATTTTTTTTTATAATTTGTGTTTCAATGCCCTTGCGAATTGCTGCGGCGATTACCGCCGCACTCCACTTTCGTCGGCCGCCGTCTGAAAATCAGCGTCCAGGCATTAGCTTGTGACACATGCTGAGACGGAGACCTTTTGCTGCCGCAACTCTGCTCACATTATTTCACTTTTCATTGTTATTTATTTTGTTTTTTATTTTGAATGTGCATGTTAAATATTGAATTATGTAATCTTGTTAAACTATGTATGTGACTTTGTGTGCAGCAAATAAATGCTTACTTACTTACTAAAAATGTAGCGTTACACGATAAAACAACGTCTCTTCGTCCTCAATGCGAAAATTTCATACAAAATATGGTCGAAATAGTGTTTTAACTTCGTGAACTGTGAAGAGATTAATTGATAAATTCCGGGAGACAGGATCATTTCAGCCATAGGATGTCCACTGCTGAACATAGGCCTCCTCAATGCTTTCCATGTTGATCGATTGGTAGTGTAGTAGTAGTAGTATATGTCGTTGGTCTACCTTGTGGACGTCTCACGCTGCGTTTTCCGGTACGCGGCCTCCATTACAGAACCTTGCTGCTCCATCGGCCGTCAGTTCTGCGTACTATGTGCCCTGCCCATTGCCACTTCAGCTTGCTTATTCGTCGGGCTATGTCAGCGACTTAGGTTTTCTTTCTTTACTTTAAAAAAAAAAAAAAAAAAAAAAAAAAAACTTTAGCTGTCTTTACGACAGCCCTACACACTGTTCTTCCAAAAACAAGTTGTAAAATGTCAATATCGTAGCATGAGTGTCAGCGTCAGCGTGCGTGAGTGTCGGTGACTATCCAGGAATCTCAATTCGGCGTCGGGGACTCGGGACGCCAATAAATCTAAAATGTTGTCTAAAATTCGTATCAGTGTGTGTCGAAATCGCTTCCTTTGAAATTAAAACTATCACGAATGTTACTTTGTCTATGTTTTTTTTTATCTGTAGTTATAGTTGTGCCTCATACTTCTATGGCCATTGTCCTTACCGCCTTACCCATACGTGCTGAGTGTAACCTTGTGTGCGCAGGTGATGACGGCGGAGCGGCGCGAGTACGGGCGCGGGCACGCGCGCGACGCGCCCGAGTACTTCCCCGCGCCGCCGCCCGACCACTACTACCCGCCGCCCGCCGCCTACGACGAGCCTTCCTGGGGTAAGCTATTTTTAAAGTTTGCTCGTATCACCTAGCGATGAATTCACTGCTGATGTTTAAAAAAACAACATTTAATATTTTAAAAAATATATTGAGAGAACTCTGGAGCAAAACTAGAAAAACTTTTTGAAACCACGATAGCCTAAGAGTAGGCGCACACCGTTGATTTTTAGTTGGCCGATAGTTGTGCCCGATTTTAAATTGTATGAAGAATCGGCCAAATCGAATCGGTGTAGTGTGCGCACTCCCATACATGCCTACGAAGGCCTACGAAAAATCAACGGTGNGCTCTCCACTTTCGTCGGCCGCCGTCTGAAAATCAGCGTCCAGGTATTAGCTTGTGACACATGCTGAGACGGAGACCTTTTGCTGCCGCAACTCTGTTCACATTATTTCATTTCTCATTGTTATTTATTTTATTATTATTTTTTATTTTTGAATGTGCATGTTAAATATTGTATTATGTTATTTTGTCGAACTATGTATGTGACTTTGTGTGCAGCAAATAAATGCTTACTTACTTACTTACTTACTTACAATAATCTAAAATGATTCAACATCTTTAGATAAACTTGTAGAGTTATTTACTTTTTTCATTGACCCCTTTTATACATAATGCATGTAAACGGTATTCTTGTGTGTACTCACTATTAGTCCAGTCATTTAAGCTTAAATTAGGTAAGAATCTCGGAATTAGAGATACCCAGCTGTAAGTCTGTAAATACTTGTATATTGACACCCTAAAAGTTGTCTCAAAACCTACATATGGTAGGGTGTAAGCAACTATTAAATTTCAAGGTCAACGGTCACAAAAATCGGTTTTTTGCGCTTTTTTTAGAAATATCTCATTTCCTATGGGTTTTTTGCTATTTGTATTTATTATCAATATTGTAGAATACTAAATTCTCTACAAATTTTGTTTAAAAACTTTTTTTATACGGTGAACCGTTTTCGAGATAGAGGGCGGAGAGCGCGCGGTCACTGCATCACTTCAGGTCTACTTAAGCGGTTTAGATTTTTCATACAAAAGGATTTTCCCGCTAATTCCTGTGGGAATTTCGGGAATTCCTTGTTGTAACTAAGCTTTGAGTTTACTAAGGTACCTACATGCCAAATTTCAAGCGTCTAACTTCCGTTAAGCGTTTAGATTTTTCATACAAAAGGATTTTCCCGCTAATTCCTGTTCCCGTGGGAATTCCTAAGTATACTATAACCTGCCCAGGTGTATGAAGAATAATTGTACCAAGTTTCGTTAAAATCCGTCGAGTAGTTTTTGTTTCTATAAGGAACATACAGACGGACAGACAGACAGACAAAAATTTTACTGATTGCATTTTTGGCATCAGTATCGATCACTAATCACCCCCTGATAGTTATTTTGAAAATATATTTCATGTATAGAATTCTGTCCGTCTGTATGTTCCTTATAGAAACAAAAACTACTCGACGGATTTTAACGAAACTTGGTACAATTATTCTTCATACACCTGGGCAGGTTATAGTATACTTAGGAATTCCCACGGGAACAGGAATTAGCGGGAAAATCCTTTTGTATGAAAAATCTAAACGCTTAACGGAAGTTAGACGCTTGAAATTTGGCATGTAGGTACCTTAGTAAACTCAAAGCTTAGTTACAACAAGGAATTCCCGAAATTCCCACAGGAATTAGCGGGAAAATCCTTTTGTATGAAAAATCTAAACCGCTTAAGTAGACCTGAAGTGATGCAGTGACCGCGCGCTCTCCGCCCTCTATCTCGAAAACGGTTCACCGTATAAAAAAAGTTTTTAAACAAAATTTGTAGAGAATTTAGTATTCTACAATATTGATAATAAATACAAATAGCAAAAAACCCACAGAAAAAGAGATATTTCTAAAAAAAGCGCAAAAAACCGATTTTTGTGACCGTTGACCTTGAAATTTAATAGTTGCTTACACCCTACCATATGTAGGTTTTGAGACAACTTTTAGGGTGTCAATATACACGTATTTACAGACTTACAGCTGGGTATCTCGAATTCCGAGGTGAACTTACTATAATGACTGGACTATATCCCACTTTCCTAATAAAATGTCAGAAATAGGTAAAGTTCTTGGAACTGACAAAGGCGAGTGAGCTTTACTTGTGTGTGTACGTGTATATGCATATAATGATAGTATTTTGTCATGTAATGTCTTAGGCTGGGTTGCACCATCTTACTTTAACTTTGACAAGCGTTAAAAAATCTGTCATAATCCATACAAAAAACATCGGTTATCGTTAAAGTTACGGTCAAAATTAGGTGGTGCAACTCAGCCTATGAAAACTTATGAAAAACGAACAGTAGCGTGCCACTACACATGTAAAGCGCACTCGCCTTCGTGAATTGCAAAAACATATTTTATTGACATTGCTGTTTTCTTATCACAGGTTTCAGCGTTTGACCAGGGATCGGTAAGTAATACAATTTTATCTCATGGTCTTTATTATCTTGCGATTACTTTGTGATCTTGTTTACAATCAGAGCTATTATTTTGATAAAATCGCTAAGACTTGAAAAGTTAACGATTTTCATGTTTCCAAAAGCAGAAATAGCATCAGCCATATCATAGACAAAACATAAATTTTCAATTGGTCGTTGGAATAGCCACCTGCAAAAGAAATGAATAAGTGAAGCTAGAGCTTATTGACTTCATAATACATTTTTCTTTCTTTCAATACGTTCCAGACTGTCCGAACCAAAATGCAGAAACAAGGATTTCATTGTCAACATTTGCTTTGTCAGTGATTAAATAAACCACGTTTTTTCCAGACGTTGTCTAACGATCAAAGCAATGTATTCAAGGAGGTCATAGTCGGCGCGGACGCAACCAGCGCCCAGGTGGAGGGCATCCAAGTCGGCGTCTGGTACCTCGTGAGGGTCCAGGCCTTCACCAGCACTGCCATCAGTGAAATGTCGCCTCGCTGGTGGATCATGCTACATCCTGAAACGAGGGATGGAAAGATGATGTATTCGGTAATGAAATAAATTAAGTGTGTTTTGTCTAAAGCTTCAACCGCACCAACGAGTGCAGATCGCCACCGCCGGCGCGATCAAAGGCCAATGACAGGTCGCGCCACCCATGACAGTTCATGCGACCTGTCATTTCCCTATGATCGCGCCGTGATCGCTGCACGCATTGGTATAGTTGAAGCATAAGGAGTGTTTTTACACTCTGTGAATCTTTTTTGCAAATAAATTCTATGATCCAGCATTTCACCTTATTAATTTCACCTTAAAATTATTCGATTAGTAAAACGGACACCAGTTTTCGTGTTCGTCTATACAATACAATAATACAATATAAATTACATTTGCTCTCTGTGCCCTTTAAAATAAAAAATAATGATATTTAGTCTATGTAGGTTCATTATTTGTATTATGTAATTTTATTTAAAAAAATAAAATAAATTAAGATAAAAAAAATTATAAATAATAAAATTATTTTTCATAGGACATAAGGACATTTTTCTCCTAGATCATCTGTTTCTAGCCAAAATTCATTGAGAGTTTCTTCAAGTATGAGAACACACAGACAGAATAGACGGTGCTGATAGCTAGCGGTCTCCATTCAAGGGTATTATTTGTCATCTATATTGTATTGATCACTGTATGATTCATTTCATTATCAAATTAATTATTAGTCATACCGTTTGTCTCATTAACTATTTTTTATTACTTACTATAATTATAAATATTTTTAATTACTGGGTAATTACTTTTTTTATCTTTAATCTACATTATCTTCTTCTTTTTGATAAACATTGTACTTTGATTCAAAATTATATTCTTAGATTATTTTTCCAATCAAAAAGAGAGCAGGAATTTTTGCGCATCGGATTTATACTCATGATAGAAGGTTTGTGCAGGCAGTTCATGAAGGTAAACAGTGTGGCATCTTATGCCGTTTTAATGAGGATGATATTATTGCTACAAAAATAAGTTCTCTAAAGTGCTATACGCGGCACTAGGCTAGTGAGTTACGTTACTACTACAGTTAAGGTATTTTTCGATGGCATTGGTTAAAATTGTAACTCGTGGTACCGATTTTCTATGAAACTGCTAAACATTTTTAGTCGCTGTCGAATACATTCGAATACCTAACTCATAGTTATCTATTTATAGCCTTAAAAGTAACCGCTAATAGCGCTGTACGTACAGTCTGTCATACATTTTTACGCACTCTTTAGCGAGTCTGTGCTACTGTCTGTACTAACGACAGCACATCCAGCTGAACTGTGGCATAATGTACCTAGTTGAAATAGACTATTGACACTGGGGCGCAGGTAAAAGGGACTATTCCCACCTCACGTTCCATCTGTTGCAACTCCAGCTGATCTACAGTTTGTCCGCAAATAAATCTCAACCAGTGAAGGTCGAGTTTGTCCCGGGGAAAAGTTAAACTGTCATTGGACATACAACGAAAATAGAACACGAGGAGTTTGAAGTTAAGGTTCGACTTAACTCCAGTAGGTTTAGTGGGGCTCAGGTATCAAATAAAAGAAGTCGTTATGAAATATGAACATTTTATTAATAAATGTAAATGTGACGGTGTAAAATGGCGACTATAACAAGCAGCCAGAGATTGGTCGCTGCGGAACACGAGTTGCCCCCTTGGTGCAGCTCGGCAAGGCTCTCTCCTGTTCAACAAAGAAAGGTAATGTTAATTATGTAGGTACCATCAACAAAATTGACGCATGACCATTGACCACCTTAAGGCTTAAATTTCTATGCAGCGACAAGACTAAAAAGACTGCAACTTGAAAACAAACTAAGGTAATTGAACCCATACCCCGATCTTAAGGCTAGCCGGACACACCGCTAAACGTAGCTCAAGTAAAGCTTCAGCCAAACCAACGCGTACGCGAAGGCAAACATTGCGCAAAGTCGTTTACACTGCCGCGATCGCAATCCAGACGATTACTGTGAAAAAAGTCTGCCATTTTAAAATCGCGCTGCATAGATCGCCGCGACCAATGACAGGACGCGTTGATGTCTCACTCATCGATACAAATTCATACACGACGTCTGA